TTGAATTTTGTGCAGAGATTTAAAAGCTCGTGTGAGTGTAGTTTTCATCAGAGCTGCCTCCTGGTGTTATTACTGCAACAATATTATTTGCTATATTCTCCATTTTAGGTGCCTTAAGTTGATATCCCCCATGAGCAAGATGTTGGGTGCGGAGGTGGAGGAATTTTCCAGACAGTGGTCAATTTTTAACAGCTGTTCCTGGAATTGCTGGGATGTTGCATCTGGAGGCTTGTAGACTACCACGATGACTAGGTTTTGGTTCTCGACCTTTACTGCTAAAACTTCCACTACATCATTTGAGGCATAAGCAGTTCTGTGCAAACAAGTGACTCTGCAATGTACAGGCCACCCCCCCCCTTTTTGCCTGTTCACTCTGTCACATCTGTATAGGTTGTAACCTGGGATCCATATTTCATTGTCCAAGTGATCCTTTATGTGGGTCTCAGTGAAAGCCGTGAACATTGCCTTTGCCTACTGCAAGCAGTCCACGGATGAAAGGTATTCTGTTGTTTGTTGCTGGCTTTAGACCTGTATATTTGCAAAGAAGAATGTCATCAGACTGGTGGTATTGTTGGTACTGGGGGGGGATTTTTTTTCCGGCATTAGTATCTGTATCTGTTGGTTTGGAGTGGAGGCCATCTACTGTGGTTCCACTTTTCTACAAAAAAACTTTTGCAGTTATTGCAGTCTACAGTCTACCTCATAATAATATCCCAACCTTTAGTGGCAACCTAAAGAACCTAATAACTAACAAGAAACTAAACAAACATTACCTTTTACTCCCTGGTGATATCAACATTAACCTTGGCCTGATTGAGGGCCCACCAGTAACTGACTTCATAAATAGTATGAACAGTCCACAGCACATACCACCAATAATGAAACCAACAAGGATAACCGAGATGAGTGCAACCATAATTGATCATATATTGACCAATATATTAGCTCCTTTCAAAGTAGGTGTAATCACAGACAACACTACTGGTCACTGTCCCACCTTCATAATTAACATTTGTAACTGAATCTAGTCGGATCTTATTTCATATCTATGGTGAGACATCAGTAATTAACTTCACTACAGCACTAAGTTACATTGACTGGCACATAGAATTTACCAATGACAGGATCATTAACGCATGGGTTAAAAAAATTTTATGAAAAATACAAAGCCTTTACAACAAACATTGTCCTGTGATAAATGGATTACAACTGATAAGTTGAAGATTAAGACACTTATGCAACCCCGCTTGTCGCAGGTGCCCATTGTGATACCTCATCTCGTACCTTGACTCGTTGTTGCCTCCTTGTCAGGTACTCTCTGATCCATTGCAGTGCCCTTCCTGTTATACGTGCCTGATCCTCTAGCTTCTGCACTAATTTCTTGTGGGGAACTGTGTTGAAGGCTTTCTTGCAGTCCAAGAAAATGCAGTCAACCCACCCCTCTCTTTTGTGTTTTACTTCTGTTACCTTGTCATAAAACTCCAGGAGGTTTGTGACACAGGATTTGCCTTCCATGAATCCATGCTGGTTGTCTTTTATATTCTTGTTCCGTTCCAGATGTGCATGGTTGTGTGTGTGAGTGTATGGTTGTGTACTCACCTATTTGTGGTTTCAGGGGTTGAGTCATACCTCCTGGCTCCACCTCTTCACTGATTGCTACTAGGTCCTCTCCCTTCCTGCTCCATGAGCTTTATCAAACCTTATCTTAAAACTATGTATGGTTCCCACCTCTACTACACTACATCACTTTCTAGGCTATTCCATTGCCTGACAACTCTATAACTGAAGAAATACTTCCTAACATCCCTTTGACTCATTTGAGTATTCACTTTCCAATTATGACCCCATGTTTCTGTGTCCCATCTCTGGAACATCCTGTCTTTGTCCACCTTGTCTATTCCGTGCAGTATTTTATATGTCGTTATCATGTCCCCTTTGACCCTTTTGTCCTCCAGTGTCGTCTCGGACTAGTCTTGTTGCAAACCATTGCACTTTCTCAAATTTCTTGACGTGCTTGACCAGGTGTAGATTCCAAACTGGTGCTGCATACTCCAGTATAGGCCTGATGTATATGGTATACAGAGTCTTGAACGGTTCCTTACTGAGATATCAGAATGCTATCCTTAGATTTGCCAGATGCCTGTATGCTGCAGCAGTTCTCTGATTGATGTGCACCTCAGGAGATGTGCTTTTGATATTATACTCACCCCAAGATCTTTTTTCCTTGAGTGGGGTATGCAGTCTTTGGCCACCTAGACTATCCTCTGTCCGCAGTCTTCTTTGCCCTTCCCTGATCTTCATGACTTTGCATTTGGCAGGGTTAAATTCAAGGAGCCAGTTGCTGGACCACATGTCCAGCCTGTCCAGGCCTCTTTGTAGTCCTGCCTGATCCTCAGCTGATTTGATTCACCTCATTAACTTCACATTATCTGCAAACAAGGACACTTCTGAGTCTATCCCTTCCATTATGTCATTCACATATACCAAAAGCAGCACAGGTCCAAGGACTGACCCATGCTTGTCACAGGCGCCCACTCTGACACCTTGTCGCGTACCATGACTCGTTGTTGCATCCCTGTCAGATATTCTCTGATCCATTGCAGTACCTTTCCTGTTATGTGTGCCTGATCCTCTAGCTTTTGCATTAACCTCTTGTGAGGAACTGTATCAAAGGTCTTCTTGCATTCCAAGAAAATGCAGTCTATCTACCCCTCTCTCTCTTATCTTATTTCTGCCACCTTGCCATAAAACTCCAGTAGGTTTGTAACACAGGATTTTCCTTCCCTGAAACTGTGCTGGTTGTTATTTATATGCGTGTTTCTTTACAGGTGCTCCACCACTCTCCTCCTGATGATCTACTCCATGACTTTGCATACTATACATGTTAGTGGCACAAGTCTGTAGTTTAATGCCTCATGTCTGTCTCCTTTTTTAAAAACTGGGACTACATTTGCCATCTTCCATACATCAGGTTAGTTGCCTAGTTTCAATGAATATGTTGAAGATCTTTGTTAGCGGCACACACAGCATCTCTGCTCCCTCTCTAAGAACTCATGGAGAGATGTTGTCTTTTCCCACCACCTTTGAGGTATCAAGTTCACATAGCAGCTTCTTCACCTCCTCCTCAGTTATGTGTAACTCATCCAGCACTTGTTGGTGTACCTCCCTATTCTGATTTCATGGAGTCCTACCTGTTTTCACTGAAAATATTTCTTTAAATCTCGTGTTGAGCTCCTCACATACCTCTTGGTCATTCCTTGTGAACCCCCTCATCAACCTTCCTGAGTTTGATTACCTGGTCCTTGACTGTTGTTTTCCTCCTGATGTGGCTATACAACAGCTTTGGTCAGACTTGACTTTCGATGCTACGTCATTTTCATATTGTCGTTGAGCCTCCCTTCTCATCTGTTCATATTCTTTTCTGGCTCTTTGACTGATCTCTTTATTTTCCTGGGCCCTTTGTCTCTTGTACCTTTTCCATTCTCTAGTACATCTAGTTTTCGCCTCCCTACACCTTTGGGTGAACCAAGGACTCGTTCTGGTCTTCCCATTATTTCTGTTATCCTTGAGAAGAAACCTCTCCTCTGCCTCCTTGCATTTTGTTGTCACATAACCCATCTTTTCTTTTACTGGTTTTCCTGCCAGTTCTTTCTCCCACTGAACATCTTGCAGGAAGATCCTCATGCTTGTGTAGTCCCCTCTTTTGTAGTTTGGTTTTTCCCATCCTATTCCTGCTACTCTCTCCACTTGTAGCTCAACTATGTAGTCAAAGCACAGAACCACATGATCACTAGCTCCTAGGGGCCTTTCATACATGATATCCTCGATGTCCGAACTACTCAAGGTGAATACAAGGTCCAGTCTTCCTGGATCATCCTCACTGCTCTCTCTGGTAGTGTCTCTAACATGTTGATGCATGAGGTTTTCCAGTACCACATTCATCATCTTCGCTCTCCATGTTTCAGGACCCCCATGGGACTCCAGGTTTTCCCAGTCAATCTCCTTGTGATTGAAATCACCCATAACTAGTAACTTTGCTACCCCACGTGAGCTCTTCTGGCCACCTCGGCTAGTTTGTCGGCCATTGCTCTGTTGCTCTCGTCGTATTCTTCTCTTGGCCTCCTGCAGTTCTGTGGCGGGTTATACATTACTGCAATTACCACCTTATAGCCTTCAGACTGGATTGTTCCTATTAAGTAGTCCCTTTCGTCCATACCATCCATTCCTTCCATTTTCTCAAATCCCCCACCGGTTTTTAATGAGCAGTGCAACTCCCCCTTTCCCTCTCGTCCCTCTGTCTTTCCTGAGGATTTGATATCCAGGTGGAAAGATTGCATCTGTTATCATCCTGGTGAGTTTTGTTTCTGTGAGTGCTATTATGTCTGGGGATGTCTCCTTGATTCTTTCATGCCACTCCTCACACTTATTTGTTATTCCATCTGCATTTGTATACCACACCTTCAACTTCTTTTCTAAAACTGTGGTCTGGGGGTACATTGGGGTTGGGGAAGTGGGAGACCTGATGAGGAGCTATAGGTGGTTGCTGTGTGGAGTTTGTAATGAGGTGGGTAGGGGCATTGGATATGGCATGTGTGTTTTGGGTTAGAATGTTTGATTGCATTGGAGTTGTCCTGGTTGGGTGGCTTCTGTAGGTGGTTGCGAGGGAGTCTGTATTTGATCTTCCTCCTGAGTCTGGGTTCTCCTGTCCATCTCCATCTTCACCTCTCTTTCCTCCTTTTGTCTTTGTACCATCTCTTTCAGTTTCTGCCTTTCTTCTTGTGTTGTGTTGTGTATTCTGTGTGTTTTGTTGTGTGTGTATTCTGTGTGTTGTGTTGTGTGTGTATTCTGTGTTGTGTATGTATGTGTGCATGCATTTGTATTCCAAAGAAATGTAATGAACACTTGCTGACGAAAGGCAGGGATCCACATGTAGGCAGAAACAGGAAACCACTGTCTCCCATGCTAAATGATTTAAAAAACATATTTTATTACCCTCACAGGTTTGTGTTATTGGAGGACTGTGGACACACCATAGAAGCTGAAGGGTTAAAAGAATGGCTCGCTCAGGATGGAGGAGAGATCGGCATGAAACAGTGTCCTCGATGCAAGAAACCCATTTATAATAATCGTCGTTATTATGGATTTTTGCTGAAAGCCTATAAAGATGTAGAGGCAGTCAAGAAAAAGTACTTCAGAGAGAAAAAAACAGTTCGAAAACAAGATCTTCTCTTATTATTACAAGGTAAATATTAGATTTTTTTTCTGGCTTTTCCATGAAGGTGGGAGGCTAAGGCTTAGAGTTTTGTCTTTAGAAAGTGAGCTGCAAGAGTTCAGAGGTTTATATGTGGAAGGTGAGATGTGAAGGTTCAGAGTCCAATATGATAAAAGTATTCTTAAACTCCATTAATTAAGTACTGGGAAACTTACACTGTATTACTAATTAAAAGGTAAAGTGTATCTAAATTTCATGTAAAATATAGGTAAATGAAAATATCTTCATTTATAGGTTTGAATTATTTTTAATATGAACATATCTAATGAATAAGAAGCTGAGATTCCTGGCAAGAATTAGTGTAAAAAGGTAAAAATATTAATAATTAGATAAAATTTTAGACATATAGTATTGGCAATATGCAGGATGCCATATCAGATTTCTCTGAACTGGCCTGTTGACTGAATTCATTGTTTTTTTACAGGTTTGAGAAGACTTTTAGTACATACTCAGATCTCATCGTTAAAATAAAAACTTACCTTATTGTTTTATGTGCTTGGGTTCCTTTCCCCCTAGAGTATACTTGATACCTGGAGGGTATTCTGGGGGTCAAAGCCCCCATGGCCTGGTCCATAACCAGGCCTCGTAGTAGATCAGGGCCTGATCAGCCAGGCTGTTACTGCTGGCCACATGCAATCCAACGTATGAACCACAGCCCAGCTGGTCAGGTACTGACTTTAAGTTCCTGTCCAGTGCCTTCTTGAAGGCAGCCAGGGGTCTATTGGTAATCCCCCCTTATGTATACTGGGAGGCAGTTGAGCAGTCTTGGGCCCCTGACACTTATTGTGTTGTCTCTTATTGTGCAAGTGGCACCCCTGCTTTTCACTGGGGAGATGTTGCATTGTCTGCCAAGTCTTTTGCTTTCATAAGGAGTGATTTTCATGTGCAAGTATGGTACTAATCCCTCTAGGATTTTCCAAGTATATCTAATCATGTATCTCTCCTGCCTGTGTTCTAATAATAATATAATATAATAATATCTTTATGTACTACAAGTACATGTACAAGGTATACAGGCCTAGCTGACATCAGTGACATACTACTATATAGAAAGCCCCTTGTTATGCCGAGCATTTCGGACAAATTAGGTAACTTTTGTCCCAGGATGTGACCCGCGCCAGTCGACTAACACCCAGGTACCCATTTTACTGATGAGTGAACATAGACAAAAGGTGTAAAGAAACACGCCCAATGTTTCTACCCTGGCTGGGAATCGAACCCAGACACTTGCCGTGTGAAGCGAGAGCTTTAGCCACCAGGCCACCAGTCACCAGAGAGTACAGGTTGAGGAACTTCAAGTGTTCCCAGTAAATGAGGTGTTTTATTGCAGTTATATGTGTCGTGAAGGTTCTCTGTACATTTTCTAGGTCAGCAATTTCACCTGCCTTGAAAGGTGCTGTTAGTGTGCAGCAATATGGGTCACATCCTGGGACAAAATTGACCTAATTTACCCGAAATGCTCTGCAAAACAAGCGGCTTTCTATATAGTATTAGTATGTCATTGATTTCAACTAGGCCTATATACCTTGTACATGTACTTGTAGAAATAAAGATATTATTATTATTATTAAAGGATACATTTCCATGTATAAACTGGGGAATGGGGAAAGGCCAGCAATAAATTCAGATGACTACAGAACCACTGGAAAGAATTCTGGAGTCAGCAACCATTCATTTTACTGACAACAAAATATGGATCCCAGGTTATAACTCATTCAGATGCAATAAAATAAACAGGCAACAAGGGAAGTTAGCCCAGTACGTCACAGTCACTCATTTCCTCGGAATTACTAAACACCTTAGATGATGTAGGTGAAGATTTTGCAGGAAATATTGAAAACCAAAACCTTGTCATTGTGGTTGTATACCTGAAGATAGTTTCTGGGGTCAATGCCCTGCAGTCCGGTCTGAAACTAGGCCTCGGTTCATCAGGGTCTCATCAGTAAGGCTGTTATTGCTTGTCGCATGTAAACTGACATAAGAAAAAAACCCCAGCCTGGCTAATCGAGTCATGACAAGGTACCTGTCCAGCTCCTTGAATACAGCCAGAGGTCTATTGGTAATCCTTTATGTTTGCTGGGAGGCATTTGAACAGTCTTGGGCCCCTGACACTTACTGTGTTTCTTATCGTGGCTAGTGGCACCCCTGCTTTTCATTGGGGGGATGTTGCATCTCCTGCCGAGTCTTTTGCTTTCGTAGGGAGTGATTTTTCTTCTGCAAGTTTGGCATTTAATCCCACTTATTATGTATGTTTCTTGCCTGCATTTCAGGAAATACAAATCCAGGGATTTCAAACATTCCCTGTAATTTAGGTGCTTTATTGTACTTATGTGTGCCGTGAAAGTTTTTGTACACTCTCCAGGTCAGCAATTTCACCTGCCTTGAAGGGGGCAGTTAGTATACAGCAGTATTCCAGCCTAGAGAGAACAAGCAATTTGAAGAGAATCATCATGGGCTTGGCATCTCTAGCTTTCAAGGTTATCATTATCCCATACTATCATTATTCTAGCAGGTGAGGTAGATATATTGTTGTGGTCTTTGAAGGTGAGATCCTCTGACATTATCACTCCCAGGTCCTTCACATTAGTTTTTCACTCTATTGTGTGGTTAAATTTGTATTATGCCCTGATACAGTTTTATTTCCTCAAGTTTTCCATATCTGAGTAGTTGAAATTTCGCTTCATTGTTTTCTGCAGCCCATTGAAAGATGTGGTTGATGTCCACTTGGAGTCTTGCAGTGTCTTTGATGAAGGTCACTGTCATAACAATTCGAGTGTCATCCCACAAAAGAAGACACGGACCTTTGGCTTACATCTCTGTTTATGTCAGATGTGTGGATGAGAAACAGGATGGGAGCATTTTCTTCAGCCAACCTCCTAGTAATGATTATGAAGTTTTGCTAGGGGCCACCAGTAATGAGATCTTCTGTATGCACATCAGGACTAGGTTTTGTAAAGAGCAGTTTGGTTTTTATCTGTCCAGCTTACAGGTTGTGAATTTCATATCTCTGTGTCATGAACTTGGATTTCACATTCTACTTTTGCTACCATACTTAGTGAAAAGGTGGCGGTGATTCCTTACTGATAGTGAATAAGCACTGGATAAAGAAAAACACTTTAAAAATATTTGTATTATCCCAGAGAGGCTATTTCTATCAAGATAATTAACTCTTCTTTTAGAATGTGACCAACAACTGTCTACTAACTTCTGGGTTTCATATTTACTGCTCAGTAAACAGGTAGTTGCTGTCTTACCTTCCCAAGATTAAACCTGTACCATTTTGGTTTTGAGCTGAAATCTCCTGGTAGTTCATAGAACTTGCAGAAATACGTTTTCCTATTTCATAACTATGTATTATGTGAAACTTTTTTATTGTTTTGTTGTATTCCAGATACCACAGTGCATTTGGAGTTTGTTGTGAAATTACAAACCTTGAACTACATGTTAGTGAAAAATTTAGGCATCTTAGTGATTCTGAATTAAACCTTCTTCAGTTTCAAGCTCAGGTCATACATAAAGCTAACTCAGTACTTAAAAAGGCTCCAGAGTGTACAAGTAAGCTAACAAAAAAGGTCCACTTTGTTGTGTGAATCGAGTATTTGAGCAAAAACTCCGCATTTCCACGCAGATGATGGAAGAAAAGTTACTTGTGAACTTCAGCGTTTTAGCAGTTCTACCAGCCTTCTGGAGCCTAACAAAGAGGATATTTCAATATAACAATCAAATTTTATCACAAATACACAAAAAGCTTTTGATGATCTTGGGTCCTACAGTTAAGTTTGACACAGAAAAAGAAAAAGAAACAATAAACCTTTTGAAAGAAAGTGTGAAAAAATACCTTGGTGGACTTGGAATCACCAATGATGAGAGAATGCAGATACTCAAGGCCATGGAACTGAAACAGGGCCATTGGTATAAATGTCCCAATAATCACATTTACTGTATAACTGAATGTGGAGGAGCCATGATAGAGAGCACTTGTCCTGAGTGTGGTGCGGCAATTGGTGGTGAAAGTCATCGGCTTCGTGATGACAATGCTGTTGCTTCAGAAATGGATGGTGCCCAATATGCTGCTTGGTCAGAGGAAAATAACATGCTCAATTATGATATGGATAACTTTGAATAGTTTTCCAAATGGCTTTTATGAATGGCTCGAATAACACATTTCAGTTAAATACTTTGAGGTTTGTTTCTTGTTATGAACTAAACTTTCTAATCCACTTCAGTGTTATTGTTATAATGTGAAGGTGAATATTGAAATTTAATGTATTTATTTTATGATAATACTGGTCCACTGTGCTTGCTACTTGTGATTACACAATCTTGCAACAAGGTGCCTTCATGGTCATTGAGGGGGTCTAGATCCACAGATATGGAACTACCCTAACCTTTCTTGGTTCAGAACTGATTATTTCATATTCTGCATGCACTGCATTACCTTTATTGGTTTTATGTTTTGCAATAATTATAACTACCTAGATTAGTTTCAGTCCTTGCGTGATTCAAGGAAGTTATCTTCCATATCCCATAATCCAATGCCCTTTACCTATGCACGCAAAACGAACAGAAGAGCTATACCTCAACTGCTTCAAGAAACTCAAACCACCCAAGAGATTCAGAAGCTAACATAAATGTCCAATACAAACACAGAAAGTGGAACTTAGGGAAGTCCAGCACTAAAAATATTTTTTCAGTAACACTCAGCAAATCATGAACAAGCAAAAATACACAGAATTGATAAACTTTGTGTGTACATCAGTTATGTGCATCTTCGACACCTGGGAACACTGAGCAGTAGACGTTAAATTAAAGAATGGCACCACAAAAACATTTATCATTATTTTTTCAGTTTTTTTTTTAATTGCATTCGACTTTTGATATTCGTGAATTTTGTATGAAAAAAATGCCACAGGATTGCAACAGCACAGCTACCACAACACAGCTGCCACAACATAGCTACCACAACATAG